TCCAATCACATCCGGTATTTTTTCATTTAAAAGAAGCATGGAAAAGATTGTCCAAATTATTCAAATTTGACCCACATCTCAACCAATCTGCTGGTATTTGGTATAATCCCAAACTTTCTATTGCCAAATTACCCTTCTTTTGGAAGCTCTGGTTTCAGAGAGGTATAACAGTTGATAGGTTTATGCTACAAACCTATTCGCTGGAACGTTCAAGACAATTCTACTACGCAGCAATAGCAAGACACGAGTAGGCAAAGTTCTTTGTGTCACTCATATACGATGGAGAGAACCATGACAAGCGCCGTTCCTTCGCTTGACCCCAGTCACTCTCGTCCACACTCCCTCGTAACACTGCTCTTTTATTGAGGTTACATGAATATACATAGGTTCATTAACATATGACGTATACATACAAACAAAGAGTACCTTGCCTGTGCGTGTGCGTGTGTGTGGTCAGAGTGTGACCCCATAAACGACTTCCCTAAACCTGCTCGTCTGGAAGTTCAGCAGTTCATCTAAACAAAAGGCACTTAGACTAAAACAGATATAAATGTGTTTGCTATACCAGAAGGCACACAGAGTCTTTACAGACTGCTAAGGATCAAACCTCTATCAATATGCAATTGATTATAAAACTTTAAGCATATATGAGTAAATATTTCTAAGCATAAATGACAATCCAATATTATAAACCTGACACAGTGCTGGGGGATCTTTACAAAAACAGTATATTTAAATCATTTGAAAAACTTGCAGAAGAATTTGATTTTGTCACGGCTGGGGGAGGGAGCCGTGTGGTGTGGAGGAAAAGGAGGACCCAAGATGCAGCAAACTGATGATACGAGTGATGTTTTATTTACAAAGGTGGTGGTGGCAAAAACAGGCAACGAGGTATGAGTAATTTACAAACGGAAACCTAAACTGGGAGAAACTAAATGACAAACCTGAGACCATACAAAGGAGGTGCGGGGCAGAGGGACGCAGAGACAGGACACCATGGAACGCAGATGAATGCAGAGATACGCAGAAATACACGGATGAATGCAGACGAGCCGACAACCAACACAGACCGACACCCACTAAATATACACACACAAGGTAATCAGGTAATCACACACAGGAGGGAAGAACAGCTGAACCTAATACACATGAGGACCGGAGGAGACAAGCTGAACACCATGACAACAGACACAGACCTTCAGAACAGAACAGGAAATCCAGAACACAAGCCTTCAAAGTAAAACAGGAAACACAGACTGATTTACAACACAACACGGGGACATGAACAGAGCACCAAGGACAGACACAGGTAGGGCTGACAATACACCAAACTACAGGTTCAACCCTAAACTAATACAAATCAGAATAAACACAAAACGCTGGGTCAACGACCCAGGACCATGACAGATTTACCTTGGCAGGAATTTTGGAAATAACTGCAACTAAGACATTTGATAGTTAATACATTTGGCTCATCCGCAAAGTTCCCTTTAAGCTGCGACTTTTTGGAGGAAATCAAAACAATCTTCGGGCGTGGACAAGAGGCATCAGCTTATTACAAAATGCTTTTATTAGCTTCCGATCCTAACACACTGTCCCTCAAAAGAACGAGGGAAATGGAATTAAATCTCAGCTTTACAGTGGAGGAATGGAACGGCATTCTTAGGAATCTGAAAAAAATGTCATGTGAACTGCGTTCAAGATTGGTTCAATTTAAGATTTTAAATAGAGTTTACTGGACACCCTCACGGTTGCACAGGGTGGGTCTAGCGACTGACGATGCATGCTGGAAGTGCCAATAGGATAGTGGCACACTTTTACATTTGTGTAGGGTAATTTCCAATAAACCAAGTTCAAAAAGGGGAGTCTATGGCTGACGCGTGTTCCTGGTTTCCAAAAGAAATGCTTCCAGTTGCATTATGATTTGAAGACTGTTTATTTATTACAAGCTGAAGATGTAACAATGAACTCCTTCCTAAATTAGCATGAAAGTTCCAAAAAATAGCAGTTATCCAGAACTACCTGTGCTCCTGAACAGCTGCCTGCATGTCTGTTTGAACATAACTACATCTAGGTAAAGGTTTCATTTGTAAGATGTAGTCATGCCTTATCAGAAAAAGTTAAATTCAAATAATATTTTTTTACTAATTAGTGTTTGTTATTAGTTAAATTAAGTTAATTAGTTAAAATCCATCTTTATTTGTTCAAATTGTAAGTAGTGTGCATTAGTGTTCTTTTTTTGTATATTTTTTAAAAACCTCAACCGTTAAACGTGTGTTCACGGTTATATAGGTTGAATCCAATGTTAAATGTTATTGTAAGTGTTACACTTGTTTAAATGATTTGTTTTACTTTGACTAAAGAGTTTTCCCAGTTACACAGGAAGCAAAAAAAATAAATAATTTTTGACATGTAAAGTGCTTTATTTAAAAATTTTCAGTTTTTCATTTTCAGTTTTTCAAATAGTGACATATATCGCTCTGGCCTTTCAGTAGCTGCCCTCTCCCTCTCTTTCTCCCTAGCCAGAGCCACTCTCTCTCTTTTTTCCTCTCTTTCCGCCTGGTCTTTTAAAAATTGTAGTATAGCCTGGCTGTCCCCGGGCCGCTTCCTCTGGCTCTTCCTCGACACTTCTGTAGAAGAGGATGAGGCCGGAGTGCTGACTGCACCACCTGTAGTGGATGTCAGGTTTGCTGCAACTACCAGTACTACTTATTGAGTGTTGCCCCTGGAGCACAGCATCCATCATTTTGTACCACTGCCAGGTGGTCCTCTACACCCTTGCCTGTTGGTGGATCCTTAAGCTCCTAAAAATATGTATTAATTGCTATATTATCACAGTTACATGGGCTGTATTACTAAATTGCAAAGTACATTTTATTTAAAAAACAAACAAAACAAAACAAAACAGGGCCTTGCATTTAAGGAATGGTAAACAAGTATTTTTTTAAACCACTCTAAGGAATCAGATAGGAACAGGTACATTACTTTGTATTTGGTCTTCAGATTGTTCCACTTCTTTTTTGCTTGCTTGGCTGCTATGGCCGTAAGATGTGTTCCTCTAATCCTTCCCTAGAACACGGGGAGCAGCAAAACCAGTCAAAATCAGTACTTGCTCCCATCAAGTCTTGCAATTTCTCCTTCCTGTAAAAAGGCTCTCATTTTCCGCCCACCACTCAACGAGAGCCCGGGTTTTCTCACTTGTCCCTTGATTAAAATATAAAACATTAAATATTGCATTAGTATAATAATAATTCAAGCAAAGAAAAGCCTTTATAGGAGGGGAAAATGACAGCAAAACAATCAGGTGCTTTATTAAAAATTAATGTACATAGAAACGTAAAAATAATTTAAGGTTTTTAAACATTATAGGATAGTATAACCTTTGTATGAACAACTGGCTATTAAAAATACCAAATTGATTTATATCAGAACCTTTAGAGATAGCTGAAAATTTCCAAATGAAATGCAGAGATTAGGCCAGCATTCAAGTGTTCTGCATCCAATCAGGATGCAGAACACTTGTGCTATAAAAAAAAAAAAGCATGCTAAATTGCATTTTTTTAAAAAGCTGCGAAAGGTGAACCGCGTTATAGCAAGGGACCACTGTACTTTGAACTGGAACAGTACTTGCATAATTAAGACTGCAAGTACGCAAAAGTATGCATATTGAGGCAGGTCCTTCAACTGTTCTCATCCTCACTCATGTTGCTCATGTTGGTTCTTACTAGCTGCATGCTGCTTACAGCCTAGGAACATTTTTCTTTTTTTTTATTACTTAGTTTTTAATAAAGGTTTTAAATATTTTACAACAGAAAAGGAAAACAACAAACAACCAAAAACAACAATAACAAAACAAGCAGTCAACTGAAAAGCACAGCTTTTTCCCACAAAGCAATTCTGGCAATGAGAAATGACTTTATATTCATGAATTGACAACAGATCTACAGATGTAAGAGCAGCCTAGGAGAGGCATACAGATGTTTATATAGATGTGAGTAGGCTAGGAACATTTTTCAACCCCATGATTGATAGTATAACATGAAACTTGCGGTTTTTGTATAACAACATTATATGAGAAAAATGTATGTTTTTTAATTGTTATTGTTGTTGTTTTTTAAGTTAGAAATAAAAGCTCTTATTTCTTAGTTACCCATAAGAAAAAAAAAATAATGCTGCCACTGTATGATCACATACCTGTTTGAACTTTTGAAGAAAGACTTTGACAGCATTGTGTTGTGTAGGAATGTAGATTAGTCTTTTGTTAACTAAGAAAAACAAGTAGAGTCACCCCAACCCTGAGGCCTGAATGTTGCAGTTGCGTAACACACTGTTGATAATGAGGTGTGATGTTGTCTTTGTACCTGAATAAATAGAAAACCCAGAGTAAGAGCAAGTCCAGTGTCCTCTTTGCATAGGCTTATGAAGTCACATCTACCTGACACTCTCAGGACCACAACAGCCACACAGCCTTTTAGCTGATGATGGTGGAGGTTTGGCTTCAAATCTCAGGTAAGCAGTCTAAGAGTAAAAGATGGTTTGATATGTGACATTCACGTGGCCTTTAACGTAGGATGTCACACAGAGAGCTGCTTGGTGACAAACAGGGTTATTTAAGATTCTTCACACAGACCTGATGATGTCAAGACAGTTTCTGCACTGCAGTCCTTGTCTGAGTGATCACGTGATTGCTGATAGGTTCCCACATGAGCTCCTGTCTCTGTACCTGTGGAGCTAATTATTAGTGATGGTGTTATTTACACCTATGAAGTCTGAGGTCACATGACCAATCATGCTTGATCCTTGCGATGTGATGAATGTCACAGTGATGAACTCTACTTCATCAATAACAAAGATGATCTGAGGCTGCTGCCCAGCTCCCGTTAAGCTTGTTAACTCACAGATTACCATCAGGATCCGCTCTCTGGCTGACAGTCAGGGGGCGGGGCTTGCCCCAATCTAACAACGCCCCCTGACCTCAGCTACACACTGTGTGTGTCAGTGCGCCTGTTTGACCAGCTTTATACGTTTTAGACACTGTGAGGACATTTGACCACACTGACAGGCTTGTGTCTGTGTGATTAAAGTGGATTAGTGTGTGCTGGGGAGCAGTAGCAGTTGGAGGCGAGCAGCAGGCGGCTGGCAGCTCTGACATGTGAGTACATTTCTGTCTGTTTCCATTCAGTCTGCAGACAGGAAGTAAAAGCAGACTTTTATTTTTTGAGTCACAGGTGTGTGTGTGGTGGGATTGAGTTTTTCTGAGTGCTGTAGAGTTGAGCTGCAAATAAAAAGGCTGCAGAAAGATTCAGAGTTTGCTGTAACCGTGTTTTACACTCAGCTGAATAAAGAACAAGACGGTGCTGAATCTTGAGAAAGAAAACCGAGCAGCTCGATGTCTGTTTGGTCAGTTTGAAATATCTACATCAAACTGTGGTCTCACCCTCAGCTGTCCGTCTGAAGCACAGATAATCAATAGACTAAATAAATCAATTACTTTCCTCTGTGTTAAATCCAGTAAAGTGAAACACACTCAGATCTGCTGCTGTTTTTCTATCTTTTGTGAGGTTGTTTATTCTCACCTCAGGGGTCAGAGGTCATGACGGTATAGGTTATGAAAGCATCGTGTCACTGAGGGTCCTTACAGAGGCAGACAAACGTGCGTGTTGGTGCTTGGTACTGACAGCCGTGCTCTGTGAGCCTCTTTGTTTCAAACACATACTCAGGCTGACGGCTGGTCATGTGACTACAGCACAGAGACATCATTATCATTTTACTCGCTCTGAGATGATGATCAATAATCTGATCAGTTCCAGTGATCTGAGGTTTTGCTGTTTGAATGGTTTGATGTCTTTGCAGTGAATACTTTTAAAAGATATTTATTGATTAATGTGCTGAAATGGTTTATGGATTATTTATTGATGTTTTATTCTGAAATTCAAACAGAGCTGAACGAAAAGGGTTTTCTAGTTTTCATTTCCAGTGCCATGTCTGTAGAGCTGCTGTGTTATTTTCAGCAGTCGCCTGAGTGTCTGTGAACGCAGCCTCGGTGTAGCAGGAGTTTATCAGCAGGGGGTCTGGACTCCATCCAGGTCGTCACACCTTCCCTTCAGCTGCTCTGTCACCTTAAGTCCAGGTTGTCACGACTACAGAGTGCACCCGGCAGCGGAAGCAGATTCCTTTATTCCAGAGCGCTGTTGCTGATGTCCCGTTTACAATAACTTTAATTAACTGTTAACTGTCAGGAAGCACTCCACCAAACCGCTTTGCTCAGAACGTGTTGGATGCACGACTGGACCTCAGCTCTGCACGCGACACAGCTGACCATCAGATTGAGCCGACTCTGTGAGCGTTTCAGGTACAATGGTTTAAATCGCGTCTCACACAAAGAAGTATAAAGGAGTATTAAGACCACATTAAGAAAAAAAATATTGGTGACAGTTTTGAGATTAAAGACATAATTCTATTCTTAGGAAGAAAAAAAAGCAGAAAAATGTATAGATTACAGCTGTTTCAGGACAAAGCGCCACGGCTGCTGTAGCCTCTGAGGTAGTGAGGTCGTACTTCAGGATCAGTTTTAGTTAAAGGAAGAAAATGATTTGAATTTCAGCTCTGGGACACGATCAGCATGACGACGCTGAAGAGTTGGTCAGCTTTACGCAAAATCCAACAGATGTGAGATCATCGATGGTCACAGCCTCGTGCAGTATACAGGATAGATGTTGTATCACAGCACGGCTGATCAGTTGGTTTCAGTGACTCATCTACACGAGGCGTGTTTAAGAGGGGAAGCAGCTGTAGCAGTTTTGCTTGAAACAACTTTTCTCAACATTTAGACTTTATTTTCAAAATGATTAACAATATTTGTTTTTCCTAATGTCACCCCAATACTTATCACTACTTCGATACCCACACCTCACTAAATCCTGTTTTTCCACCTGAGAGACATCATTAAGTTGAGCTTTGTAGCTTCTAAAGAGGAGCTTAGGGTGCTTTCATGTGCTCCTTACTCGATAAAACAGAGTCCAAAAGCACCCACTACTGATGTCTTTTTATCTACTTTTTAAATGTTCTGTTATCTTAAATTTGTTTTCTATGAAGCATTGACTCTTGTGAATTGTATCTGTGGAAAACACCATATAAACACTAATGGTAGCATTAACTACAATCTGAGAGGGAGAAACTTTTCCCACCTACCTCTGAAGTACTCCAAAGTACCTGTAAAATAACGAAAAGGTACTCAGGACTTAAAAATTGTGAGAGTTCTGCTTTCCTTTAAAGCATCCAAGTGTTTTTCCTTTGTTTTCCGGTACCTGCACTTTAAGTATCACCATGAATCAGTAAGTACTTTTCTCAGGCTGTATCCGTATTTGTAATTGGGGGTGAGCCACAGGAAGACACAAACCTCACAAACAGCGCCTCAAATTTTTAGCTTTTATCCTTAATTAGGCATCATAGTCTGTAATTCCACTTCCTGTCCTTTCACCAGACAGAGAGCGAGCTGGAGATCACAGGTGACATCATCAGCAGGTGACATCCTTCCCATGGTGCCCTGCAGCCTCAGAGGTCACCATGGAAGACCAGTCTTTCCCAGAATGCCAAGCTCAGGAGCTGTTTGATGAGTTTGTATCAGCATCAACCTGCAGGGCGGCGCTGCGCTCCTTCAGCCAGCTTTGTGAACATCTGCAGCTGGACCCGAGCACTGCCGAAAGGCCACTGTACCGACCGATTAAACGCCGCCTTAACTACTGGAGGGCGAATGGTCTGTGGGCCAAGCTGGACCGGAGGGGGGCGCAGGAGGAGTACCAGAGGGCACGAGCCTGCAGCGATGTGACTGTACGTGCTTAAAAAAATACAGCAGGAGCTTTGGTTCAAACATACTAAGACATGTTACTCAGTCATTTTATTAGGAACACCTTACTACTTCATAGATTGACTGTTCATGGCAGAGAAATTAAAACAGCATATTCAGATTTTGGTTTTTGGTCTTTGGTCTTAAAGTAATATGACCTTGAACTGTTGATATAAGGCTTTACTTTAAAGTTAAAAAAAAAAGAAGGGATGAATGTGTCTGATCGTCTGTTATCTCCTCTCTCGCTGGCCAGTGTGTTATCATTGGTGCAGGGCCTTGCGGTCTGCGGACAGCAGTGGAGCTGAGCTTCATGGGAGCTCGAGTGGTGCTGCTGGAGAAGAGGGACTCCTTCTCCAGGAACAATGTGCTCCACTTATGGCCCTTCACCATCCACGACCTGCGGGGCCTTGGAGCCAAAAAGTTCTATGGAAGGTTTTGTGCCGGCTCCATCGACCACATCAGTGAGTCAGCATTCTGCTTCTGTCTGATCAGAGCAGCCAAACCATCTAGTCAGCACTTCCCGTTTCCTGTCTGCAGGTATTCGCCAACTGCAGCTTGTCCTGTTGAAGGTCGCCCTGCTCCTGGGGGTCGAAGTTCATGTCAATGTGGAGTTTAAAAAGCTGGTGGAGCCAGCAGAGGACCAGCACAGACACAGTACGGCCTAACAGTTTGAACAAAGGGGCCGCTGTATGAATAATTAAAGCCAGACAATGCTGTATGTATTGCTAGAAGAAAACGGAAGTGTGTTCACAGCTCACAGTTGCAATTTTTACATGCGAACTGAGTTAAACTGTCAGCCAAAGTGACAATGGGGGCATGTCTGTGAAGGTTCTCAGTCATCCAGGTCATCGTAGTCAAAGGAGCTTGCAAAGAAAAGCGTCTGGACTTCTTTAAGTTGCTTGAAGA